GGCTCATCGCCCGCGGCTGCTGTCACCGACCAAGGTCCAAACCACTTGGGAAGCAGTTTGCGTGAAACATCCTGTTCCAGTGCAAACTCTTCCACGGAGACCCAAACCAGATCACCGGCGCGGATGGGACATGGTTCACGACGCCTGTTGGCTTGCTACTGCATGCGGACTTGAGCCTTTTGCATATTTGTGCGGGCTTGAGTCAGCAATTCCCTGTACTTCCGGACGGAAGCGGGAGAGCAGGCAGCGTCAATGTCGGCTGGTCGAGGGAGGAGAAGGTCGGCGAAGATCCGGTCTTTCCGTCCACCATGGTGCAACTCGAATGGAGTCATGCCGATCGCCGGATGCACCGAAGTGTTGTAGGCGAACTCGATGTCGGGGAGGCGGTCAACCCAATCTTTCTGGTCCGGACGGATGAGCGTACGAAGCATCATTTGAGCGGTTTGATGTGCCCGCTCCGTCTGCCCGTCTGTCTGAGGATGTCGAGCCGAACTTGGTTGCATTGTTGTGCCGGACTCCTGCATGAGAGCAGTCCAAAACGCCGACATGAAACGAGTGTCGCGGTCGCTGACAATGTCTTCTGGTACACCGTGCCCACAAATCCAACCAGTGTGCAGGAGGCGTGCCAGCTCGGGAGCCGTGGAGTGGTACTTGCAAGGGAGAAAACGCGCGTACTTACTCAATCGGTCCACAACCGTGAGGATGCCATCAAGCCCGAGCCGGTCGCGAGGAAACGGACCGGTGACGTCCATGGCAATGGAGAGACCGGGTTCCCGTGGGATAGGCATCGGGTGTAACTCGCCGTAGGGATTGCGGTTGCGGGGCTTGTTGCGTAGGCAAACTTCGCAAGAGTCGCAATATCTAGTGACATCGGTAATGCTGTCGAAGCTGTGCAATAGTGCGGTTGACTGCGAAATGGTCGGCGAGTCGTGAATCGTGATACTCGCCGAGGAGGCGAGTCCGAAGACAACGGTCGCGTGGGACACATAGTAAGTCCTTGCCTCTCGAGTGAAGGAGCAAGTACCCGTCGGCAATGCGGTAATGGCTGGCCGGCGGGTGATCCGAAGATAGCTGTGCATAGAGCGTGCCGAAGTCCGGATCAGACTGATATGCCCGGATGAAGTGTCGCTGAAGCTCCTCGTCGAATGCGAAGGCATGATGTGTCATCGCGCAAATATCAGGTCTTCGCGAGAGTGCATCTGCTGCGCGATTGGAGAGGCTGGGGACATGTTTCGGTGTGAAGTCAAATTGGTCGATAAAGTACATCCATCGTCCGATCGTACTGCTCACCGTGTCCTGCGTCGTATAGTAGGTCAATGGATTGTTGTCTGTGACCCATGTGAACCTACGACGCCCAAGGAGGAAGTGCCGCCAGCGCTTGAGAGTCATCACGAATGCGAGCAGCTCCTTCTTCCTTGCATCATCAAGCGAGTTGATGGGAGGCACTTTGTGGCTGAAATACTCCACAGGGTGCCAGTCGTCACCGTCGTGCTGTTCCAAGACTGCCCCAATGCCATAGCCGGAAGCGTCCGTAGTCACTCGCGTCGGCAAGGTGGGGTCATAGATGCTAAGGACGGGTGCCATGAGCATAGCCGTCTTAAGTGCTTGGAATGACCGGCGTGCGTCGTCATCGAATACCAATCGCACCTTTGGCGACTGTAACCTCGTCATAGGTGCAGCAATCCTGGAGTATCCGGTGATGAATCGCTGACAGTAGCCCGCCAACCCCATGAATGAACGAACGTCCGTGGTGTTGGTGGGCTCGGGCCATACTCGTAGGGCCTCGATCTTGTCCGCAAGCGGACGGATGCCTTGCGGCGTCACATAGTGTCCCAAGTACTCCAGCTCCTG